GTCTTCGACGATTGTCGTCGGCCGAAATCAATTGCATTCGATATCTGTTACAGAAGTCGGTAGACACGTTTTCTATTGTGAAAGCTCGATCCTTTTGTCTCGAGAGCGATGAGAGCCCCCAAGTCTCGAAAGAACGTTAAAATCAAAAGTTGTAATATATCATTCAGATTTGCGTGGTTTGTCGAACTTTTTATGCCTAGTAGAAAGTGATGAATTCAGCTGCTAGTTACGTGTTGAACGTCTGGCCTTGAAATAATTGGAGCCTTGGGAGCGCGTGAAAGTAACGAGATGAATACGTGATAAACACGATTGACATTTTTTTTAGAAAATACGAAGCACCTATTAGTTCAAGAAAGAAAGAGAAAGAGAGAGAAAGAAGGGAATTTCGTGTTTAACGATAACGCACTTTCTAAAGTAATTTTAATCGCAATGTTAAGAGATATATATCATTGAGCATTAATTAGAAATTGGTTCATTCTTAAATATATATTTCCCCTAATTATATACGCGTATATCATTTTCTAAGTAATGTATATCATTTTCTAAGTAATAGAATATTTAAAATAGCAGACGTGTGTTGACGCGATTCTGTAATACACATTCATAATATGCTTACGATGATAAATTGAACTGATGAAGCTGCGGAGCACCACAGATGTTCGTAAGAAAAAAAAAAAGAAAAGTCAGAATTGGATCGTATCCAAATGTAATCGATTTCATCGCGCGTGAAAGTATTGCACGAACATTGAAAGTTTAAGCAATTCGTTTTGTCATGTTAAAATTCATATCGTTAGGATGAATGGGAAACGAGGTTCCGCTCTTACATAATGTTGATACAAAACGTGTTCTCGACAAAATATATAAGTGTGTGCTATATTGTATTATTATATATATCCGCGTCTTTATATTAAATTACATTGATCCGGATTTCGACAAAGTAATTTAACGTAAAGGTAAAACGATCAAGATACGTCGGAGAAAACCAACACGTGTTGTATCCTAGAATAACAATCGAGGAGTTAATCGTGGATTTATTTTCGGTGCCTCAGGCAACGTCATGGTCTATCCAACTCGTATCTTAAATTAGCCTTGAACTTGTAATAGTGACACACGTTCGCGCGTGGCTCAAAGTGTCTTTCATGAATTGACAATACGTTATGTAATCATCGGATAAACACGATCGAGATAAAATTCTAAGAATTGGCGTCTGAGATCCCCCATGCATTTTTATACGTAAAAACTATTTTATACCACTTATGTAAAATATAACAAATTAAATTTAGAAGAATATTTTGCAAAATTAATTATATATTATATATGATATACATTACAAGGAAGTGATATGTGCTCCGGAATGAATAAAAAAAAATATAATTCAGCGAGGATCCTTAAATGATCGAGGAAGGTGAAAGGAGAGTAGCTTTTTAACGGTAATGAAGACGCTGCGATGAATTGATTATAAATGTATTCCATATAACGAGAATAGTTAATGCACGAAGGAGGAAAGAATAAAGCCGCTCCAATTGGTTACGTCTCTTGAAAACAAGAGAGCACTCCTACGACGTGGGTCAAATTAACAGTACGCGCGGGATATTAAAGGAGGGGGACTTTAATATACAACGTCGTTGTCCTTATGAAACGTCGGAGAAAGTTGGTAAAATGTTTTCCTCGCGGCGGATTCCTGCGCGGAGTAGGTGGAAACAGCGAGCGACGGAGCACAACGGAGGTTAAAATTTCATGCAACCTCGCCTAGGTTACACGTGAGGAGTCGTGCACTCTCGAAACAAAAGCTACGTGACGTAAGCAATTGCGAGCGCGTGCCGTTCCGACCTCGGGTTGTTCCCTATGCCACGGAGATGCATTGTATCGTGATAATGAAAGTGAATTGTAATAACCATGCAACAGTTGTATGAAGCCACCTTGAGAGAGCAAGAAATAACGAGACTCCAATCTCGCGGTTCTCTCGAAAAGAGTGCCTTGGAGAAATTTCAACTTTTCTTCTTCAAAAATATATATATATATTTTTTTTAAGAGATAGAACTTGTTATTGTGTATGCATAAGAATTACCTATATCAAATTAATAATTGTAAGTTTTTACTTCCGGCCGAGTCGCTTGTTAAAATACATTCCGCACAATGCGAAATTCACATCGCGAATTCGACGCTTTCCCTAAAGAACGTCTCGTGCCTTGTAATACGCCAAGTAGCATTTAGATGTAAATGTCTATTCATTTGCATGTTTGACTTGTTTTCGTTGCGACTTTTTCGCAGTCTTTTCGCGGGCAAGGTAGTCTCCATACGATACAAGCGATTTTACTCGCGAGACATATCTTCGTAAATATTTATATAATTAAATCTCGAGTAAAAGTGATGGGGCAATAAAATGAAATTACGTCCAACTTTTGATATAAAAGTCGTCGAGCGTTTCTCCGATTCTCGACTCTCGTAAAACTTGAAATTTCACTGGAAAATACGTCCGTGCGATAATAAGGGTCAAGCGCAGTTGGAGATGTAAACCGACTCTCGTAACGCGAGATCTCGCGATGCAGCGGGACGTATTCATCGTTCACGCCCTTCTGTCAGGGATGACTAGGTCGTTCTCACCCTCCGGTATAACTGGCAAGTTTCAAGTGCCGTCGCGGCTGAGAGAGACACTGTTGCTCCGGCGCGGCGTTGTGCTTTCTCCGTCCTTCTCCGCTCGCGCTGGCATTTCGAAACGGAAGAGACAAAGAGCTCGAAGTCACGGAACAATGAGACCTGATATCGCACGGTTGAACTACGTACACTATTACCGCTCTCTTTCTCCCTCGCGTTTTCACGCCGACATCGTCAACGCGTCTCGCTTGTGTGTTATTGTGCGCACGTCGGAGGACGCTTACCTAATGGCGTACAATTATCGTCCCTGAAAAACCCGTTTCACCCCCGGTGAAACGCCATCAGACGGTCCTCTCTTCTTCACCCCCAGTTTTATGGAATCAAGCGTTTTAGCGCTCGCCCCGGATGTAATTAATCCTCCAACGCGTTAACGTTGAAGACGCGCGCTCGCGCAGATGTTTACGCGTAAATTTTCTTATAACGAACCAGAGGGAGGAGGGAAGTTTTGCGTTTTATTCGCGCGAGATGTATAATGCAAATTTTCGTCGACGTATTTTCTTCTCGCGTTCGCATCGCGGGCGACAAAACTTTCGCGATATACGACGACACGTTGGCGGAAACCACCGAAATTCCGACGGCTTATATAAGGATCGCTTTAATTGTTCGCGGGTGCGTGTGCTCGTTATGCGCGACGGAGAGACAATTTCCGCGTTCGTGAACACGAATCGTGAATCGTAACTGACTCTTTCGGGGAGAAACGATTAATTCTGTCGTGACCGCGACCGGCCGGGATTTTTGATGGCGCGCTTTCGTTACGGATGGAAATTTTTGTTTAATTTCACCGGCGGTCGCACCTGAAAAAATAGCGTCGATCAGCAGTCGCGGCAATAATTGTCGCTCGTTGCCGCGAAACTATTGTCCGACGAACCATTTTTTCCCCCGGTTCTCTCCCATTTCCCGATTAATTTTCGCGCCGTCACACATCCTCCTCCTACTCTTCAACCCGGGGTTACATGCTGATAGGAAATCGCTGTCACATTACTATGCATTCGCGAAATAGTTATTTACGAGACACCTTCCGCCACGTGTTTTAATGATCCGCCGCGAGAGAGAATGGGATTTTTTTCTACGCGGAAAGTTTAATCGTCGCATTTATAGAGCACGGACTCTCGCTCGCATCTTTTTCAAATCGCGCTCGTATCTTTCTCAATCGCGCTCTCTTCCCGTTGGATATACAAGAGTAAGTTTTAACGAGTACAAGAATAATTTTTCCGCCACTATTTTTTTAATCCTAGGGATAAAAAGATCATGAGAGCTTGTTTGATTTCACTGCTCACTTAACATAGATCGCGAATCTTCGTTTCTCTCGCGCAAATAATTGTAATGGAAAGCTAGGGCAAACTTATACGCGCCTAAAAAGTTCCCTTGGAAAATAATTAATGTAATCAGAAGAGTAGACAATTACGCGGTAATTATAATGAGCGCTATGCAATTTCTCCTTTCGATACGCGAACTAACTCTTTATCGAGGTAACGCGCTTAATGCTCGCGAGAGAATTAACCCAATGAAGGTAAAATCGATGGAGGAACGAGGTTCATTGTCAGAAGAATAACAGACTGCCTCATCGAGATGCATTGGACGCTATCTTAATATTTTGCAACGGGAGACAACGGAATTTAAATGGCTCTAAACTCGGTTGCATTTCACTCGGTTCCTTTACGAGAGACAGCACACGGGAATTTGCTCCTTTGCACACTGCTTAACTGTATACGCGTATTCTCCATCTCTTCTCGATAAAATATACGAATATAAACTCTTGCGTGCAATTCCCAGCGAAATAATCAGTATTTATGCATCTCGACAGACCGGCGTTTTACGACGATCTCACTTAAGCATACAGACAATTAAGATTGACGAGACGCGTTTTCTAACGATAAATCATTAATAAATTTCACACAATCTCTCAAACAGATCGAGCGTATAATCCTGTAACGATCGAAAGGTAAGTAAGATTAATATACTAATAACAACATATATGATAACGATAGTTTTCCCGATATGTCAAAACTCTATATCTGTCAAAGTCATACGTCAACGCGATACGTCAAACTATATAGCATTAATCTTGTCCATTAAAATGTAGTGTGGGAGATGATGTCAGTAAGGACGAGGCATTCGTCACGTACCTTTTCCCTCGATCATCGTATATCGAACGATTAAGGAATCGAGGCATATCATTTCCGAAGCGTGTCGGGGCTCTCTCGTCCGAGAATCCTCGGTCGGCCGTGATCGTGCAGCGGGCGCTACATCTCCTTCTTCCTTCCCAGGCCGGCGAAAGGCGAGCGTGGCGGGCAAAAGCAAAAGTCAACGTACGTACGTACGTTCAGTTCCGCTCCGAGAATACTACAGTGCGGCATCGAAAGGAGTCAGTTTCCGCGTAGTCTTCGGCACGTCGGTCACGCCAGGTGTTGTTTATCCACCTGTCTTCTACGCGTATACTTACGTTACTCGCTAGAGACAATCGCGCGCGTATACGCATAAGGAGGAGATATCGTCGAGGAAGAAGAAGATGCGTCCGTCGCGCCGCGATGCCGATGCTCATCGCGTCCGAATCGCGCTGCTCTCGCTAGGTGAGTACGACGATACGAGAATCTCGCGGATTGCAACGCGGCGGATTTAGTTCTGTTCTGCGGCAAGTTGCGAGCGGGCCAATCGGCGAATTCACGCTTCGATAGACGCACCGAAGTCCCCAGCGTGAAAGTCTTAACGGCGAAACTTTGCCGTCAGATCTCGGATGGAGGAAGAACGGATACGGTCGGATATAGCAATTGTGTAATCGCCGTAACATCCGATATTATAGTGCGCCACGTGAAATGTAATGCACATACGAGACGTTCGCGTTTAAAAATTTCAGCTCTATTAGGCATGATAAATATAAGTCTTAAATGCTCATTTATTACACGGTACAATAGGCTAAATAATTATAGAGTTCCGTTAGTGGATTGTGATAGATGAATGCCTTCGTAAAACACCAATCGTTTGTTTTCATTACATAAAAGAATTTTTTATCATTTTAAGAATTGCTACTCTTAGATATTTTTATGACCATATCCTACTTTATTTCAAAATGAATAAAAATGAAGCCGGATTGATTTTCCATATTAAATAGAAGTTCTATATTATTTACATAAAACTATATATTGCATTATATTATATAATAAAAATGAATCTGGCCTTAAAAATGACTCAAAGTGGTGAGTCAAAAAATATATGTAACGGAAACAAATCGTTTGTACTATGGAGACATCAACCATTTTTACCATACTGTGTCAAGAGAGTGATCTATTGATGTCCATTATTTCAAATTAACATTAACTAATAATATCAATTATATCGATTGAATAATTAATTTCATATTATTTTGGCCCTATGAATGTCAAAGCTTGTAATCCTAGCCTATCATCAATCCGACGCATTATATATCATTACAGCCATTATCGAGATGCACTCTCGATGCGAAACGCAAATGATCGCGCGGTGTAAAGTGCATATTCTATAGAATCGCGATGTAAACACGTGCCTCGTGACACGTGTCAAGATTCCCGAGGAATCTCCCGGAGAATCGAGGGCAACTGGTTAATATCGTATAATATACATATATATATATATACGCCCGTTTCTCCATAGATCGGAGAACCGCAAACCCCAAGTTGGAGCCGTGTCTCCGGCTGACGTCAGGCATCGCGTCCCCGCCGTCGACGTTGGGCGTCGTCGACGGCGACAGCGATGTCGGAACACCACGGGGAAATCAAGCGTTCTCCGCTTTTATTTGCATAAAATGATGGGACTGACCACGTCACGTTCGAAACGTGAGGCCTCGCTGATTTTCCCTGCGAATTTTATTATTTCCCGACACACACACACACACACATACACCTATTCCTTCGTTCCGTGGCATTTCGAATTCGCGGAAACAACACGACGACGACGGTCATTAAGCCGGATGCAAATGGGAGAGCACGTCGCGCGCGAAGAAATTCCCAACGCAAATCTTTCTCTCCCAGCGTGTGCCGTACACAATTGAACACAGAATTGCAAACTTGAAAGACCGGAGGAAGAAGGCAATTGCGAGCGAAGAAAAAGAAAATTTGAAGGATATTGGAATGCTGCCAAATATATATAAAATGCGAAAAAGTTGCCGTTGTAAATCTCTCGTCTTTAGCTCTGCAGCTCGATGTTATTAACTAGAATCGCTCTTGCGCGTGTTTTAAAGATCGTAATAAAGCGCGCGATCAAAACTTGGGCCAACAAACAATCTCAAGTATCCAAAGACACATTTGCAATCTCGCTAATAACAACGCGAACTAAATTACTGGTATTAAATTGCCACACATTCCCGTATCCGAAGGATGTCAAGGCGAGTGGCTCTTACGGTCGCGTTTTTTAATTTTGTTTATTTTTTTTCTTTTCGCTCTCAACGTTTACACAATCGTACCAATTTTGCACGCTAGCATTTCGCGTTCCCGGAAAGTGTTTCCGTGCGCGACATCTCGTAAAATCCCTGACCGGCTGAACGGCGTCGCGAAACGAGATTATTGGCGAATTCACGAGTAAAACCTCTGGCGGATATAAACTAATTCGCCGCTCGCGAATATGTATAATTCGCGCGCGAGAGAGACTCGAATGGAGAAAAAAAAGGAATTAAAAAATATATAAAAAAAACCGTTTTTGCCAACGATTGTAATCGGCGAGCGAGCTGAGAGCCGTATGTTGCGCGCCTGTACAAACATTATCGGACCGATGGATGGCTCGGAATCCCAGCAGCAGCTATCATTCCCTGGCAGCGAGCCGACACTTAATCCCGGCAAATATAGTCGGAATTCCGCGGCATTGTTGCGCGCACACGACAGATTCGAATATTACGTGCGTCATACTAATCGCTCTGTCGCTGAGCGCTATACTGCGATTAATTATCGGCTGAGCGCGTAATCCAGCTCGAACTCGCACGCGAGCGAGCGAAACTTGGGAACGGAAATCAATTTTCGTTGGATCCAAATCCCTTTTGCTAAAAGCGTTATCCGGCAATCGCCGGTGATATTTCCGTTCGACAAACGTCATTGTCGTCGGGCAAATCCCGCGAATTATGAACACTACGCGAACGAAAGGGAATTTGGATCGCAGTTTAATATAACGAGCGGATGTAACTTTTCGTAAGATTTAATTAAATTTTAATTTGATCGTGATTGTTGAACAAGTTAAGTTGCAAGATTTAAGAGATTGGACGTAACCAAAATTCATTTAAAAGATAACTTTTGTTCTCGGTACAAACAGCGCATTTTGAAGTTACTACAAATTGTAAAAGAGACACGGAGACGCTAGCTCTGACAGTTAATTTTGGTAGCTGGCCAGTTTGCTAGATATAAATCTGCAAGTGGCTGACCCCAAGATCACAAGTAGCTGAAATATTTATGCGAGAGTCTAGACAGGATATTATGTAAACGGTGGAATAGAAAGATTTTCGGATCACTCGACGAAATCGTCTTGCGTCCTTGAATTAGCAAATGACAAATTATAAGATTCACATAATTTACAATTTAAAATCTTACAAGTAGGTTAAGATGCAAATAATAAAATCTCCTTTCGTTATTACCGCGGCTGCTTTTAAAGAATTTAAAGTATAGCGATATATGTACGTTTTCCTTTACGAGCGAATCAGACGTCGACGGCGGATCAACGATGAATTTTTCAGCGTGCTTAAACCAGAAATCCTTCGCTCGTCGAGTATATCGAGAGTCGGTTCTGAGGTACCAGATCGATATATCGATGCGCTCGGGCGTATCCATTAAATCGCTCGATATTGATAGTAGTTGTAAATACGATACGTGAGCCAAAGATTCTTACGATCGCCCGTAGAGCAAACGCTGACAAAGGTCTTCAGAAAACTCCTCGACTCTCTATCCACTTCCTCGCGTTCCTCCCTTTTTGCAGAAGGAAGAAAAGAGGGAAAGAAAGAGAGAGAGAGAGAAAGAGAAGAGAGGAAACGACCACCCCTCGCGTATATACACAAACGTCTCTCCCGATCGTGAAACTCCGCGACGGTATTTCATCGTGTTACGTGCTTAGCTCGGGTCGTTTTTCTTCTTACAACGGAATCGATTTTCGCCGACGAGGCGACCGTAAAATTTAACGACGTTAATTCGGGGGCCAGACCGGAATCCGTATCGCTACGAGACAATCGTGTTGGAAGCGCGTCAAGTATCCCGGAAGAGGGTGTAAAATCGAACCCGCGCTAATTTTCACCGACAGAGCTTAGAGCTTTACAGCTGCACCAAAATACTTAATCAGAGGAGATAAATCACTTTGATTAAAGAAATATTCTTACACCTCCCCAAAGAATATAATTATTTTTTATATAATTGATAACTTCAATCTTCGACACATAAATGCACATAAGTGCGCCTTTTGACGGTATATACGCGCGACGGAAAATAAATATGAAACATATGACACACGAGAGGAGTTGGCGCGATACATTCTGTATGGAACGCATTTATATTCGAGGTACTTCAAAGGACTACGGGGTCTAGGTTCTTGTGTGTCAACGCCGCTTTGCACGAATCCTTTCGAATCTGTTCGATCTTCTTAGCTTAGCAGGTGATAGAATTCCTAATACCTTAGATCCTAAGCTTCTCAGACCGCTTTACCGGATTATGACTACAATATCGAACGAAAATCGAATAAATTTAGACTTGAAACAATCAAAAGATCCGCATCGCTGAAAATTTCCCTGAAATTCTTACCGCAAGCAGTCAAACAAATAATTCTCGCGCTTCTCCCGCGCTTGCAATGCTCGGAACGAACGGAAGAGATCCGCGCTACGAAAGTTTATTAATTGCGACGCCGAGGCTGCACGCGCGTTGAATCCCGGTCGCGACACAAGTAGTAATTTGTGTTCGCAACGAGTTTCTCTCACAGTCGGTAACGAAATATCGGGATATGTCGCGGTTTTCGCACGTGAGACCGTAACAAGTTTACTTGTGCTCGCAGAATCGCGAACCGAGATACGTTAATGACAGAACGCGGAGGGAAAAAAACGCGCGTGAGATAAAGAAAAAAAAAACCTTGCTGTAAAACTCGACGCAAGACACGTCTCGCGTGAAATTTGCACGACGCCGAGAGACAAAAGAAATAAGCACGCGATATCCTCAAGTATTGCGATAAAGCATGCCAATCACGCATCGCGTGTCCGTAACGAAACATATACGTCTCCAAGACGCGTGTACACAGTTACAGAATACGTGGAAGTTCCAGTTAACGCGGCACGAGGACTTTTCATGCGTTTTTACTTTCGTCCGCGCACAACAATAATGCCCCACCTTTCTTACCTTTCGTCTGCCCCTCCACGAAGATTTATAAGCAGTTCGTTCCGTCTTCATCAATCTTACCGTGCGTACAATGCACATAATCGGACAACATTATTAATTATAATGAAAGGCGGGAATTTTTTTCTTCTCCTCTTAATTGTTACAGATGGACTTTTAACAATCCTCGTATATTTCTTCGATTGCTCCCTTGTATTTCTTGGAGCTATATATAATTTGGACGAAAACTCTCCGAGCGAGTAACGTTG